AATCACGAAAAGGAATTCCACTCGATTTTTTATTTAACCACCGGGCCTGAATTCTAAACTGCTTCGAGTTGCTTCGAATTCTACTAAAAACGACTAACTAAATCCCAGGGTAACCCGAGCTTCCTCTTGTAAGCTTACTAAAAAAATATCCAAGTTCTCAGGCGCCCTCATTACTGTGCAGAAATGAGAATTTATCAATTCGGTAAAGGCCGTAAATAATTCATCAGGAACAGCGGAAGTTTCCCGGTAAAAGTGTCGAGGCGTAGGGGTCATTAGTTGAATGCGTTACTACCGCCATTAAGGATCCCTTTTAACTTCTTGAAAAATCCAGGCTCCCGGAAGAATATTCCCACTCACAAAGTCGAAGCGACGCGATTGCATCAAAGGGTCCCGAGAGATCTTTTTTCTCGATTTCCGTTCGGAACTGCCGGCCTAATATTCGGAAAACGCTAGTTGGCAGCTACCTCGCTACTCGTACACCCGCATGCGATTCGTCAACCAAAAGCGAAACTGACACAACATCGGTAATTAATCCTCTGCGGTCTGAGTACGTTTTACGGTCTACGTTTTACAGTCTACGTTTTCCGTAGACTTTGTTTGGAGCGAAAGGGTCGAAACTCTGACCAGGAATAAGTTCTATTGTGACGCGTTCTTTTTTCTTTTTTTAGATACGATATTAATCCATCCAGCCCTCTTTGTTTCAGTCGGGGAGCAAGAGTACGCGACCATGGAGGACCGTTTTACGGCCAGGCTGTCGTCGTCGACCGGTATATTTACGTTCGAAGTGGTTGCTACTCGATCCCGAAATAAGTACCTCGCGAAGGCTGCACCCTAATCTAACCAACCCCGACGCGTAACGCAAGCTAACGTCGTCGGTTAGCGTTGTTCGAGTGCTTCGATCGGCAGATATGGTCTCGAGTGGCTTCGAATGGAGGGATTAACGACTAAATCGAGTCACTTTTCGCACTTTGTTCCGTCGAGATGAATAAAAAGGTAACTAATAAAAAAAGGAGAAAAAAATACCGGAGTCAAACATCTGCGACACTCTTTTCTCCAAGTTACGAATGGAACGACACGCGCACGTTCTAAGCGTTGCTACGGCGAAATTTGGGAATGGTCGGGGTTTATTTGAAGCAGGTGGACCGTTGGGGAGGCTGGGATAAAAAAAAAACTAAAGTGCCACGCGATCATCGACTAAGGAGCACGTGTAACAGGGCACTCGGAAGCGTGTCAGCTCTCGCGGCGATAGGAAACAATTTGCGGCTGCTAACGAAGCGACACTTGCGCTCTCCTAGAGTCGAGTGTCTTCGAAGACGGCGTGGAAATGCCGTTGCGTATCATTTGCTTTAGAGAATAATACTAATTATAAAAGAGGGCTGTTTGAGATGGGCTTGGGCGTGTCGGACATTGTTGAAATTGAAATGCACAGGGAATATAGAAATACTAGCAGGTGTAGAAATGAATTCAGGGTCTTTGCGTTTATATACAGTCAGTTCTGTAAGTATTCCTATCGAAGAAATTCGTCGAAATTGAATGATATGACAGTGATAAGTACGTACTGTACTTCTAATTACAAAATTTATTCGAAAACAGTAAATCCATCGTTCAATTTATACAAATTTATTCGATAGATATTGAAGGTACGAACATTTACGAGAATTACTGTACTCGTAACTCTGATTTAAGTAGAAATATTCACTCGTCATTTTGTTACGTTGAAGTACCAACCATCCCCGACCAGATTCTTTATAGATAAATGGTAATTTATTTTAAAAGACCACAGAATGAATTCAAACGCCTAATAACTTGTAGCCTGATTCAGTCCAATTCGAAATACAGCGATTAATCGAAATTAAAACGTCGACCCGATTAAATTCCAACGATCGAACCGTATTAAAATCTACTAATTAGACGGGAAATTGACCGGCAATAACGACAGCAACGGCAACAACATAATATTGTTACGTGCGTGGCTTAATTGGATCTCGACGTTCTGTTAGGTGAACGCGGGGGTCATTAGGGGTATAACAGGTCGACAAATGCGCGTCGAACGGTCGATAGGGAGAGAGCGTCGTTGAATCGGGGGAAAAAAGGAATAAATCAAGCCGGCTGTCAACTCGTCGCGACGAAGTACCGTGACCCAGAAAATCCTTCGAGAGTTGATCGTCGTTTCGCGATATCTTCGCGAAAGGCGCGTCGCGGTTTCCGTTTCCTGTTTTCAAACCGAGGTCTAGCAATTCCAATGCGATAAAAGCGTCCCGTCGTAACGTCGCTGCGTATAAAACCGGCTAAATAAATCGCCACGTGTTTCCTTTTCCTATCATTCTTCCGAGAGAAAGTTTAAACAATTTTGGGAACAATAGAAAATTTCGAAATTCGATAGAAATCGAGAAAAGAGGAACCAAGGTTAGCGATACCGTGACTTACGTTTGGTTCGACCGAATATTTTAATTATTAATTGCGCAGATCGAGGTTGTTTCAAACGGAAGTCGATTTGGACCGAGAATTTTTCCAGTGTTTAATGATGGAAGTCGTGGCCAAGTTTTTAATTGTATGATCGAGGAGGGGGGTAATTATTGTTTATCTCGGAGGGGGATCGACACGTGCGGCCTTCTGTGTTCCTCGAGTCCGGCGAGTCCATGCTTAATATTTACTATTCTTCGGCGGTACTTCCGGCTTACATTTACCGCAGGAAGTGCGTAAGTGTTGCGCGTTTCAGCGACCCACGCTATCGTCATTGTTTTTCGTTCTGCCAGCAAAGTTGCGTACGCATCATTAGTTGCGTAGGCGTTATTTCTAACCAAAAGTTGTACTTTTTTTCATTTTTCACGACGATTAACCCTCTGCACTCGAGAGGCGACTCTCAAGTAGCACTCTCTAGGTTTCATTTAGGTTTAATTTCTTTGGAACTCGAGGTATCGATAAAATGATCGTCGTTGAGGCAACGGTGACCTGATTTTCAAATTTCAAATTAGAGATCTCATTCGAGAGGTCAATCTCAGCATTCGTGGCAATAAAATGCTAAGAAAGCGTCTCGAGTTGCCGATAGATACCAGAATAAATGGCCACGAGCGCAAAGAATTAATCTTCGCGACAATTATTTCTTCCGAATTTTCACGAAAACTGTAGTCCCTAAAATTTCATCCACGCGATTCCAGCGCACCCCCTATCCAGTCCGCGCTAGCGTTACATTCGTCTCGCTTCTGATTTCCTGCGTTACACCAATCATTCTTAATAATACAATAAGGGAAATATTTCAATTAGATGAAATTACAATTGCTCGATTTACGATTGCTCGATTAAACCGCAGGCATTGAAAACAGCATTCACCTTAAGTACGCCCTATTAAATGATAATCTCGTAATGATTCCGTTTACTCACGTTCGTGTAGAAGTCCACCTCTTTGTAGGGGTTCACAGCCACCAGTATGGATCCCGTGTAGGTCTGCAGTGAAATACCGAGTCAAGGGAAATATTGCCGGAGTCGTTGGGAATCGATGCATTCGACGGAGTCGTTCGCCTATTAATCAGGCCAGGAGCGAGATACAAATAGGAAGGGAGAGGTAGAGAGAGAGAGAAAAAAAAAAAAGAAAAGAAAGGAGCAAAAGGGCGGAAGGTGTGTTTACCGTCGTTGAAAAGAACCGCGCCGACGGCATTATTTCTCATTCCCCGACCTCGTGAACCGCCTTGAATGATAATGCGACGCGTATTCTTCGACGGGGCTGCGATGCACGTGTGACGTCACACCGGTGAGACTACACGACACCGCGACGATATTGTCTGAAATAAACGTTCAGGTGGGAACCTCCTGCCCGACCGTTTGTATTCGACGCTCGTGTCCGAGCGGATAAGTACTCGAATAAAAATGAATCCCTATATTTTTTCATGGATTTTTACAGAGGGGAGGGGGGTGGGGGGGAGGGGGGGTGTAGTTAATATCTAAAGAACCTGAAAAATTATTTATCAAAAATTTTGCGCACTAGATGGCAAAGGGCTATCGATAACGACGGTGATTACGTAATCGCTTAGAAATAGAAAATTGTTAAGAGTATCTGTTTGAATTTAATTTAAAAGAAATGACATTACTTTTCGGCCCTCCTCCCCTCCCCCCCTCCCCCATAATACTACAATATCTGTTAAATAAACCCTGTAAAAAGAAAGATCCTATTCCTTTTGCGACGTTCTCAAAATTAACGATCAAAGTTAGGCCTTTCGTTCGGTCTCTAGAGTGGTGTTACCCCTTAATAAACATGCTATTCCCAGTTTTATTACACATACTGCAATTCCCGAAGTTTCTGGGATAAGTGTACAGGCCCATCCCCTTGGGAAGAGGCAAAGAAGCTCGCTATTACTATCTACGATCTGCTGCAACCTATCAACGAGTGTTCACCAAAAACCCTATTCCCGGAAGCTCCTTCCACCCTCTGTCTATTTGTCAGTGCGTTATTATCGAGAGACGTTCGTCGTTGGTGAATTCGCTGGTTGTAACCCAACAGCCGACCTCCAAGTATCCCCGGGAGAAGATTGCGAGTCCCGTAGTTCTCCCTTGCATAATAACCGAACGATGACATGGTTTCGATGCCGTTCGGGGATGGGGATCGCCGAAATGACGTCAGACCCGGTTGCGAGCCCGAAGGGATGACTCACGGGGTTGAATGCCGTCGGCGAAAAAGGGGATAACACGCCACCTACAGTCTGTCCCATAAATATTCGTTTCCTCTATACTTATTAAAAGAATTTGAAATTAAACGACACGCTAAATGAAATAATAACCTCGATGTTTGCGAATACATTTTTCAGCATAATATTCGTTATATATTTACACAAGTGTCAAGTTTATCCATGTGTATATTTATAATCGAACATTCATTTGAAAACATCAAGCCTATCGTTTCATTTAGACGAACTTCTTTAATAGACACAGAGGGTAGGAATATTTCTGGGGCTGACTGTATAACCGTACCCTTCTGCAACATTTCGAGCGACAGGACGAAGGGAACCCTTTGCAACAATTCTTCAGGGCGTCCCGCGACTCGCGAATACTTCAAAGAATTGACTAAATCAGAGAGAAGCGAAATTTCTGCTGGTGCGATATTTTAATCCCCACTTCGGGTACCTGTTGTATAGTAAATCAAGAATTTTTCATTTTCTTTTTGGTCAAATGAGTCGAGTAAGAAATATTATAAAGGCAAAATGAATGCATCATTAACGCGAAACTGATCAAACGCGAAGTCTGTATCCACATCTGTATCTCTTCCATTTACGTTTAAACGTGAAAAACAAAACCAGAATGCTTCCCAGCCATAAAACCGAGAGCTCTCGACCCGGTTCGAAACTCGAATCGAAACTCGCACAAAAATTGCGTCTCTCACGAAGGCCGGTGATGTTTCGATAAAAGACTATCATATTTTCTCCTTCGGCCGAACATCCGAGGACCTTTTCACCCAACCTTTCAAAGTCCTCGCATGTTACGTCTATTTCGGTCTACGACCTTTCCGCTAGCCAGCAAATATTTCCTCCATTTATTGCGACCGTAAAGGTAGCCTCTTCTCTTGTCACTCGCAGGACTCGAGTCACCCGGGACGAAGGTTCATCGATCCGACTAGAAAGACGAACAACGACAAAGGCGTCGTCGACGGCAACGTCTTTGTAACTCGATGGGAAAACCTTTCCGCGAATCGAACCTCTAACGTTACGAAATACTATGAAACATCACGGAACAATTAATCGTTTCACGAAGTTTGCGACAAAGAGAAAAGAAAAACGAAACTGCTCTCGATCTCTCTTAATAAATTCGAAGGAGATCGTGCGCAAAGATCTCGAGACTCGAGATCCAACGATCCGCGCGTCTTTCGTCGACTCTGCCCGTGGAAAAGAAAATAGGCGTCGCCGTCGGTTCGCGGTCCGTCGGGGAAAACTTCTTACGGACAACCGCGTTTCCGGCCATTGCATTGTCGCTCGCGATATCAATCTTTCCACACTTTTGTCGCGGACCAACGAGAAACGTTCCCGAACTAACCGCGAGTTTCCCGGAATTTCGTTCGAAAGCGGTAAAAATTCTTGCGTTTATTATATCAATTTCACGTGGAAATTGCGCGCTTTTAAAATTAATGAAATTTATGGAATTATCAGGGGGTCCATACGAAACCCTCCATTGAGAGGTTTCATTTGAAATTTTTAAAGGAATTTCTTTATTTTCAATAAAATTCTAATATTTTAATATGTATTATTAATATTATTCTAATTCAAAGCACAAACCCTACAATTAAATATGGAGCGCAATATGAGGGCACCTGATATCGTCTCCAAAGCGTATAGCGTTCTATTTTTTTAAATCTAAAATTAAACCTCTCAATGGAAGACCCTGTATAATCACCACTAGCGAATTTAAAGCTGCCGAAACTCCAATTAAAAACAGATCTCTACAAGCACGAGAAAGACGTCGAAAGCCAGAGAGGCCGGAACATCGTCAGTCGATGTTTTCTTGGGTCATCGTGCACGGTACGAACGCCACGGTAATGTTATACGGGCAAACTGGGTCCACGTCCGCAGCCTGATGACGGTCAGCAAACGTTCGGAGGTCAGCACATGTCGCAAAGAGGGTAGTTGACCCAGAAAAGGGGGAATCTCGCGGTATCAAACGACACGGCGCAAACAGAGCATGAAATTTTCAATAAAATACAAGCCTGCGTCCTCCGCGTGACCCAAAAGGAGACTGACCGCAAAAAGAATTCTCTCGCGAAACGAGGCGACGCGCTCAACCCTTCTTAGACTGATAAACCAGTCTGGGCTATTAATGAGCACAGAATTATTTCGGTATGCGCTTACCTTCCCCTATGATTCAAATATAAACGTGACTTATTGTAGGATTATGCATAGGTTATAGGATTCTTTGTGTATCGATTCCTTTCTCGGACAAAAATTTGTAAATATTCATGGAAAGTAGACATAAATGAATAACTAGGTATATAGGATTATGGGATAGAGATTTCATGCATTTCTATTAAACCTTTGCGCTCGAGGAATTTTTCTATCGAATCGAATCCAGTCCATTTTTATAATAAATTTTTGTAAAAGCAAAAACTCTGCTTCGAAGAGAAACGTCTAAAAATATCCACGACTCAATGTATATTATTTCGATTAATAATTAGTTGTATCTTGATGTAAGTAAAACTGAAATCGTACGTTCAAAAATCACTTTTAAATTATATATATTGTCCTACTTAATTAACCCTTTGCAGTCGAGAGGTGACTTTCAGTCACCGCTAGGTTTCCTTCAATGTTCATTTCTTTGGAACTCGAAACGTCAATAAAATGACTGTCGTTGAAGCAAAGGTAGCCTGATTTTCAAATCTCAAATTTTCGAAGTCGATCTAAACTTGGCATTCCATCGTCGCGAATCCTAAGAAAGCATCTCGTGTTGCTGATAGATACTAAAAAAAAAAAAATGCCTCGAGCGCAAATGGTTAATTATAGATCGCAAAGACACTTGGTAGATTTTCTTGAAAGAGAAAAGTCGTAAGTGTCGCGTACATTCGACCTGGAAAGAAGTCGTTCGCTTACGTTAGCCTAATTCGCCGGCGTCGGCTGGTTTCGTAAACAGAGGATAGAGTTCTCGAAAGCCGTCGCATATCCGGCCCTCCGGATTCACCCCTTCCTCCGCGAAACGCCCGCTAAAAGGTGGGCGAAGCTCATCCTCGACGAAAGCAATTGAAACCGGCTAAGAGCGCTTTGCTAGCGAGAGGTTAATGAGAGCGAGCTGCTACCCTCTCCACGTCGGATACCGAAGGAGGGCACGAGCAGCGAGAAAAAAACGGACAATGGACAGTCGAGGATGGCGAAACAACTCGGGCTCGTACACGAAACGCGAAGAAACTCCTTCGATGTCGCGATAGCACTTGCTCGATGAGATTCGGGGATATAAATTGGAATCGGAAGGCTAAAAAATTAGTGCTCGAAGATATCGAGACGTTAAAGAGGATGGACGGGACGAAATTTAGAGAGAAATCTCGAGTAGAACTATCGAACATTTTCCAAAGAAGGAAACGGGACAAACACATCGGCGGACTTCAGATTTATTCGACACCCAGGGTTTTGGCCATCACTGAACCGCAACGCGTGTGCCGATCGATTTTTCGAAGAAGCGATGCATCGAGTTGCAGTTCTTACCCTGTTCTTACACCGCCGCGAAACGAATACGCGTCGATCGAAGCGAAAGGTAAACGAGATAACGTTGCGGGTGGAGTAAAAGGCGAGAGAGGAGACGGTAGACGCTCGATCGGGTAACCAGGGTGCGGAGGGGATCCTCAGCTTCCGGTTTCATCGATGTCGCCGGGGACAGGGTTAATCCGATATCCCGAAAGAGAACCGAGCCTCGATAAAAAGAGCGTTGAGTAGCTCGAGTACCGCTGGATAATGGGTGGCCGGCCAAACGAACAGTGCGGACGCCAGAGTTGCTCGTTCTTGCACCCTAACCCTTCGCCTTCGTGGGAACAAATGAAACTCGACCGGTCCGAAACATCCTCGATACTGGAACGGTGACGTTCGAAATAATCAAGAAGGTAATGGTTTCAGGTAATTTAATTTAACGGTAAGTGAAGCTAAAGCAGGTTGAAGAACGTTGAACTAGGATAGAACAGTAATATTCGTCAAACACTAATAGTGGAATATATCGTGGTGGAAGCAATACAAGATCCCATAGAAAAATTTAGAGGAAGTGGAAAACTAATTCTGAGACGTTACGATCGTTTCAAATTCCAAAAGGGGCGCTTCGATAACTCTGAAAGAAATCAACCCTTTGCACTCGAGGCCTTTTTTTCTGGTATCTACCAGAAACTCGAAGTGTTTCTTAGCGTTCTATTGCCATTGATTCTAAGCTATCTAGATTCGAGAATAAGGTCGCCTTATTTTATCGACACTTCGAGCTCCAAAGAAATGAAACCTAAAGAAACATTAGGTATCGTAGATTTGCTGCGTGAAATCTAACCAGAGTCACCTCTCGAGTGCAAAGGGTTGGATGACTAGTTCGATGTTTCCAAATAAATATTTGTTTAAAAATAAAATTCTCATCATAAACATGTAACACGCATAAAGTGTATCCGTGTACATACTTACAATAAAGCATTCATTGGGGACCATCAACCCTGTTACTTAATTCCGACAAATTCCTTCGCGCGATTCCTCGATTACATCATCGAGCAAGAAGAAGTTTCCCCGCTTCGAGAGCGAGTGCAACACGTGCCGCGGCTCAAAGCCGGTCTGTGTCGAGAAATCGATATTATTTTCCGTCTAATAACGCACGAATCACGTTCGTCACCGGTGCCAATCTCTATCAGCGCCAAGACAACGGTGAATATTAATTCGCGCGAACGGATATATACTTTCGTTCACGGTCGTCGATGCTTCCAACTCGGGGAAGCAGCTATCTCGCGATCGGAAGGGCTCGCAAAGGCGAACGACTCGCTGTGCAGCTATTTAATCAACCAACGATCCATCGACCCGAAGCCGCTTTAGGTGGGGTGCAGCGCGCAATTTTATTGGCTAGATCGTTAACCCAACGATTCCGTTGGTAATGTTGAGACTGATGGAAATGAGGAAACGCTCCCTGAGGAATTTACACGGAGATTCCCATCGAGAGGGTTAACAAAAATTAGCTTTGTTTTTCTGTACTTCGAAGATACGCAACGTGGAGATTAAGCGAGCAACGAGATTCTCTGAAATTCGTACGAGTAACTAAGCTGCACGATACGAGCTTCGAGAAACTTCAAACTCGTTTTTCTCAAAGTCGCGTTTTCCTAGCGGGTACAGTAAAGGCTCCTTGAACGTGCAAGCTCGGAACTTGCGCGTATATTCTAGGGTTCGTATATTTTCTGATGTTCGCCGCCGAGCTTCGAACGACAGAAGAACTGTCCATTACTTACTCTAATGAAACATTTATTCGAAAACAGTAAACCTACGATTTAATTTAGAGAAATTTCTTGGATAAATATCGAAGGTACGAAGATACTTACGAGACTGACTGTATTCGTAACTCTGATTTACTGCGCTCCGAGCTTGTGCATTTATCGTAGAGAAATTTGTGCATTCAAGGAGACTTTACCGTACCCGGGATATCTAAAAATCCATCGAACCGATCGCGCTCGAGTTACGCAGACGTGTTCAGCGCATTTCCAACCAACTACGATGAAATTTGTCAAAGTCGCTTTCCGTTCGCGATGTACCCCGTGGGCGACTTTACGCGTCCTCCCACGCGGAGCTTCGTGGATCCGCGACGAACGAGGAAGTGTCCACTAACGAGCGCACCGACGACGACCTAAATCGCCAAGGCGAACACGCATCACGCGTTTGAATTCCGGTCTCCGGATCGACGGACCGAACGGAGAGCAAAAACTCCGCGTGCAATTATAAGCGACGGCTTAACTCATTACCGAGCGTCATCCTCGCGTTCGAGGACGAGTCTGTTCGCACTCACGGAATTAATCGCACGTGTTTCGAGTCGAGATGAAATTCCCGACGCACGAACTCGGCGACTAAGCGATTCGATTCTTTTATATTCATCTACAATTCCTTGGAATTAATAGTATCAGTGAAGCCAACTATTCTTTCAAATACCAGGACACCTTGGTAGAATTCTGCAAGACTATCGAGTTCTTAAACAAAATGTAATAACCCTGTACTGTTTCTGCAAGTCGCTAATAACCCATGATGTCGATGCGACGTTAAGCTTATTAAATACAAAAAAAAAAAAAAAAAAAGAAAAAGAAATTCTTCGGAAGTTCGGTATCGTCCCTCTTGTATTTAATTCGAATCGGTAGAGAAGTACAGATTAAAAATTACCCAACGGGAGAGTTTCTCCCTCGTGTAAACTACGATTTATAGGTCTGTCTATTTTCTTCCCGATTCGCGGATGATCCAATTAAGAAACCGATCCAATTAAGGCTGGTATTTCGACAAAAGAACCCACCAAGCCGATATTTCCACCCCTAGGCGGATCCGTTCTTCATCGACGGTCTTTTCTTTAATTTAAAAATGGCTCCTCCCGTCACCTTTTATTCCCCGAACTTTGTATACGGATGAAAATTTCGTCCAGCCCCGTGGCGAATGATCATTTCACCGTCTTATCGGGACTATCTATGGATCAGACGCGGCGCAGTTAAAGGGGGAGGGGGATTAAAGCTCGACAAGAAACGACAGTGGGTCGTCGGTGTCGGTCGTTGGGTCGGGAAGCCTTGGCGGATGAATGGGTCTGGTCCTGGGGTGGTTCACCAGCTGACTGGGATTGTCGTCATGGCAACGAACCAACCCGGGAGCAACGCCCCACCCCTACAAAATTCATACGTACAGCTTTCTCTCACCCCTTCTACGATTTTTCTCTTACTCTTAGCCTCGCTCTATCTTCTTCTATCCCTCTACCCTATAGTCTCTGTCTCGCTCCGTTACACTCAACTTTTAATTGACTCTCTCGTTTCATCCCTTACAGGTGCGGCGAGCGACCCGTTCGTTTCTGTATATCGCAACATCTATGGCGAGAAACTAATTTTTCGTTGATTTATTCCGATAACTGGACCGTGAATTCTACTTGTATTTATTTCACTCGCTCCTTGACCCTAAATTCGATCGCCCGATGTTCCCAATTTCGAGCCAAATTCCACCCCCATACCCCTCGAAACTTTCGTCTCTCTTCGAAAGTCTCGTGGCCACTCGCGACTGTAAAATCGACGAGAGTAAAACTCGAGCAGGTTGTTCCCAAGACTGAACTCTAACTCCAGACGGTAATGACGACGAGTGACGAAACGAACGGACGTCCGTTCGCGGTTTTTTGCGAAACTCTTTGCCGAGACGGTTTCACATGTACCCGGAGCGTGCTCGTTAGTCCGCGAGTTACACGCTAAGAACTTTGAAATTCCTACTCGACTCGATGGCTGTTTCGTTAGGCTTTAAACACGATTTATATCGTTTCTTTCTCTTCGTTTCAGGAAAGATGATATTCCTCGAGAAAGCGATACGTTTTTTACACGGAAACGGAGCTATCTTTCCTCGACGTAAGAAAGGTAACGAGCCTGGGCACGGAATAATCGATGATCGCGTTAAAAATACGCTCACGAAGATGTCTTCTATATTCGTCGACTAACGAGCATCTGTTTCCGAGCGACCTTATTAGACCGATCGACTCGGTGTGTTTCGAGAGGTCGACGGTAACGTGCGTGTCTCGCGATCCCTGGAGCGGAATCGAAACGTGTACTTAGGTTCGATCAAAGGATACGTATATCTGGTCCCTTCCGTATCGGACTTGGAGATTCCGATTGATTCCCGTCTCGTCGATGTCGCTGATCACCGTCATGTCAGGGACACCGAACTCGGGGCTCGAGCCTGAAACAAACGAGCACATGGATGGTCAGTAGCTGCTCCGAAAGCTCTCAGTTCACAATAAACGTTGCTGTTTGGTCCTGAACTTGCCGAATCTACGACTCGATATTCAACGAAGGAATCCGAACGGAATCCGTGGTAAATTGGCCGGTCCAATTTTTTTTAGATCGCGGATAGTTCGCGGTTAGACGGTCGTTGCCATATGGCAGAAATGCGATATGGAAACCTGGTGAGTTGTCTGGCCACCTGTTGTTCGCGCAGACAATACCGTGCGAGGCGATTTCTTGTCACCTCGAGTGGTCAATTTCGAGCAGAATCGAGACGTTAATAGAAACCTGGGGAACGTGGCGTCGAAGTATTGCGTCGAGGACGAAGATCGTAGGCTCGCTCTGTTTCCAGCACAAAGATAATGTAACAAAAAAAATTGGGTACTTCAATCAACCACGATCTTCGATTCCAATCGAAATTCACACGTGGACGTTCCTTTTTCAAACAATACTTCGCAGAAATAACAGTAACTGAACACCGCGCACTTGTATCGCAAATTAACGCACCCCAAACACGCATAAATATTTCCACCGATGTGGGTGTTCGATGCGAACGGTGTTACAAGGTTTCAAGGAAATTTCGTCTGTTCCAGATCGCGATCTCGATTTAATTAGCACCCGTGCCAGCCTCGCGAGCGACCCACCGACGCCAAGTGTTGAATCGTACACACGGTTGGGTGGCGCCTACCCCGAACACGCCGTGTGCTCTGATGTAACGCTTCCTGCGGTTTGCCTTTTTCTGCCGGTTCATTAAGCACTCGCGACTTTTTTTCGTCCCGGCGCGGACAGGAAAAAAACGAAACAAAAGCAAGGACAGAGTAGGGCGCGAGATCGGCGCGCGTGAATTCCTTTTCCCTCGAACGACCAGAAAAGCAAAGATCGAACGATCTCGAATCGCGAACGAGATATCGAATTTCGCGTTAGTTGGCGAGAAGGGACCGCAGGGAGTCACGTGACACGTGACCTTGGAGTAATAGAATCATGGCAGCTGACGTGCAGGTGCAGCGTCTCGCAGGTGCACGTGACCTGCTCCACCGGCACCTGCGTTCCGCGAACACGTGGTTCGCGATGAATTGAAGCTGATGGCGATAAGAGGGTTGAATCACGTTTCTTTTTTGGCACTCTGACGCCATCTGCGCTCGGTGTAACACCGGTCGAAACGAAGGAACGAAAATAATTCAACGAATGATTCGTGTCCTTGTCATCGGTGATGGGCAAAAACCCTGGGCTTCGAATAAATCTGAAGTTTGGCGGTACGTTTGTCTCGTTTCCTCTTTTCAACGTTCTCCAAAGAAGGAAACGAGACAAACGTATCGGCAAACATCAGATTTATTCGAAGCCCAGGGTTTTGCCATCACTGGTGGTGACTGAGAGTCACCTCTCGAGTCCAAAGGGTTCCAAGTATAATCAAAATGATACAAGAACGCGCTGGTAGCTGTAGACAAACAGTCTAGCTCGCTCTAACTACACATCTCTACAACCGAAAGATTTATTCGAGGCCTAGAATTTTACCCATCTCTGTTCATCATTCATATCCAATTTATCTCCATGTATAATATCTCTATGAGCATTGAACATTTCGTTCCAATAACCCCTTTCGCCGATTAAAATCGCATTAAATAGTACCCTAGAACGCAAGACCCACGCGCGATCCAAACAAGGTTCTCGAATTTTACACCGCCTCGTGCGTAAACTCGAACACGCTGCACGTCGCTCGCGCGGCGTTTACGTTGCGTTTTTTTCGGGCCAGGTTAATATACACGTCGGTGTTCTGCGTATGATAATGCATCGAGTTAATTATTTCCTCCCGTTGTTACGTGTCGTCGACCTCTCTGAGAACACTTCGGGGCTGCACCGTCGTTGGTTAGCGGATCGTTGCACGAAAGCCACGGCCTCGATCGTCGCCGTGAATTTCCCCTCTCTCGCTCTTTCTCCTTCTCGCGAAGTTGATGCGCCGGCGAAAGAAAGCCGGCAAGGAAGAACAAGAGGAAGACAAAGCGGGAGAAAATTAAGCAAGCCGCGCCTAGTGAACGTAAACACGTGATCGACGAAGCCGCAATTACCGAGCAAGTTCGACAGTTTCTGTAATTGAATATGGACGGGCAGCCTTGTTTCGCGGAGAGGTCGTTAAAAGTTCTTTATACCTTTGGTAATAATATCGCGCCGGATCCCTCGGCGAGCTTTGTTCGTTTCGCATTTTTTATTTACCGCGCGTTGCAAACGGTAACGTGAAGCAGACGCGGGAGTTTGTTCGTCGTAGCAACGGATTTTTAACGCTTCACCGACTGTACTTTATCAATCGGGTTCTCGACGCGGTAACTAATACCACGTTGATTACAACGATCCCGTGATAGTGGCGACACCAAGGGTTACTCGAAGGGTCGAACCTTTGCGCTCGAGGCATTCTTCTATATAGAATCGAAACCGGTCCATTTCTATGATAAACTTCTGTGAAACCAAAAACTCTACTTCGACGAAAAACATCTACGAACGTTCATGACTCGACGTATTATCATTTCAATTGATAATTAGTCGTATTCTGATGTAAGTGAATTTGAAACTGTACATAAAAAACTGTTCACAAAATCACTTTTAAATTACGTATGTCGCCCCAGAGTCCGAGCGACCCGAGCGCAAAGTGTTAATCCTTCTAAATATTAAATTCTTCTCTTTCTCTGTCTTTATCCTTTTCTCGAAAATGTTTTCATTCATTCACCCGAGCATCTCTGAACTCCACGCGACATTTTTCTACTCGCAGAGTACATGTAACGACGCGAGGAAATAACTGGCGCGTGAAACGAATGGTCAGGTGGCAGGGAATTCTCGCTTCAATGCATTCTTGTTTCAGTGGTCCGGACCTTCGTCATCTCGGGAAACGGATGGAGATCCGAGGCCGGCGATAAGGAAACGCGAATTCTAAAGAACGACGGAGAAAATAGGAAGCTCGAGGAGGACAGACGTGGTACGTTTCACGGAAGAGGCGAGACGCAAACATCGCTTCAGTCGGGACACCGTACTATGGTAATGTAATACAAGTAAACCGTAACGATCCTTCGGTTCGTACGCTCGTTTCTTGCGATCGCGGCTTAATCTCGGAAACCGAGAGAACCCGGCAGATTACGGGAACGTGTCGCGAGATTCGGAAGATTGCACGCAACGAATCTCTATGCAGAAATGTTTGATACAATCACGTACCGTGGAGTAACAATGCACCGTGCGTTCGTCTACTAACACCACGGGCCTGTCCAATAGACGTTTATTGAACCATCTAGGCACTTGCGATTGCCGCGCGACCGCGGCGAATACTATGTAAAGCCTAACGTAAATGTAAATACCATGTACAATTTAGCGAATCGTAAAATGTAGAAAATTAACGATGCAGATTTCATTTGTACACTTAATACTCTTGAACATTTCTACTGCGATTTCATTTTGTTCGCAGACTTTAAGAAACTGCGTAACGAAACATTTATTTTGGTGTTTACTTTTGCTGATATACAACTGCATTAAGATAGAAAATATTAATTTTTCAGCGAAACATTTATTTTGGTATTTACTTTTGCTGATATGCAACTGCTTTAAGATAGAAAATATTAATTTTTCAGCGAAACATTTATTTTGGTATTTACTTTTGCTGATATACAACTGCTTTAAGATAGAAAATATTAATTTTTCAGCGAGGTTCGTTAACACGTTGATCGCCACGTCAGCCATATATGGGCGACACAGTGTTTTTCGCTGAAAAACGAAAACTATTCATTCCGTAAGTTAAGTGTCATAGAAAATGAATTTAAACGAAACACTTGAATTTCGATGAAGTTACAAAAGTAAATACCAAAATAAATGTTTCGTTGCGCAGTTTCTTAAAGTCTGCGAACAAAATGAAATCGCAGTAGAAATGTTCAAGAGTATTAGTCTGGCAGCGAACGTGTTAATGAGCTATGTTTCGAACAGCGTCCTTCGAGAGGAATGTAGTTTCACGTTCCCCGGTAAAACACGGTTTTTGACGTCTATATCCGGTGATTCACCCGATCGGCACGAAATTCCGGGGAAACCTGCCTACCAGGATGCTGCAGTGACTCACTCGCTCGAGATGTCCACGATATTCGTGCGTCCGTCCAAGAAATGCTTCTCGGCGGGGCGATTTAGGTCAGCCGTAAATTAAATCTCGAACTTTGCGTCCACCGTGAGTCACGGTGCACCATGTAGGTACTTGATCCCAACGAAACAAACATGCTTCGACGTATCCCATGGTACGCGTCGGTTTTCCGGAAACGCGTCTAGGATCACGATGACGCGCTATGAAACTCGTCTGAATTGAGTTCGATCGAAAGCTAAACAAACCATTTTCTTTTATAACTAAAATAATGTTCGTCAAATTATATGTTGGCAATAGGATCTCCCAACGCTGCAATACGTTGGTAGCATCGCTACTTTTTGGCGACGCGTCCTTTTCTTAATATGTATTATCAGTATATGTATTATTAGTAAAACTAAATGTGCGTAAACTCTGTCGTCATAGAATACTCATTGCTTCCACAGAAATGAAATTCTAGGCCTGAACGACTAATACTTTATCCATCACTGTAGCGGCACTGTGCGCTTCCACCATTATTGTCCAATCGCTACCACAGTATTGCCTCGAAATAAGCAAGTCGGTCGGGTCCAGCCAGTTGCTTGTTCCGAGGCAGGTGTGGCATTCGACTCGACTTTGTCCCGTACAAACAACTAACGGTATTGTTTCGGAAAATACACAAAAAGAGAAAACATTACACGCGTTCTGTCCTCTTTCCACCAGTCTGTTCTCGCTCTCACTTCTTTTCGGATCTCTCACTCGACTTCAAACAAAAAGACGGTGATAGCGAGTTGCTGATGCCGACGCAATACCGTAGTCGGTAAGAATAATAGAACTCGTACCGACGAAACGTTAATAAAACGATCGACAGTAACCACGTGACGATACAACTAATTATTAATTGAGATAATGACACATCGAATCATGAACGTTCGTAGACGTTTTTCGTCGAAGTAGAGTTTTTGGTTTCACAGAAATTCGTTATAAAAAATGGACTGGATTCGACTCGAAACGAAATTTATTCTAAAGCGAACCGGTGTTAATTTTCTTTGAACCCGAGTCACTGGGTGCTTTGTACCCCCGATCGGAAACACACGTATGCATACCGTGCATACATTTGTACCGTAAGTGGTTTTATCATACGCGACGCGATAACATGACCGCGTTAGTATACACGCACGGTACAATGTATACATCGGGCTGCTATGAATGCTGATTGTGTACCAACGGCCAGATTGTATTGCCCGACCCGAGACAGAACTGGATCGCGTGTCGCAAAAAAAAAAGGGTGTTTCTGTGCGTGAAACGTTTTACGTGTGTCCTTCGGGCCGCCATGTTACTCCGGCCATCGGCGGACGTGTTGACAAAAACAAACACGAGCCTCTTTGTCTCAAGAAAAAAGCTAGGAACGGTCTATTCGAGCTACGTAAAAATTGTTTCGGTTACGTGGTTACAATTTCCAACGTATTTATCAAGACCTTCATTTGTCAACCATTTACGCTCGAGGCATTTTTTTCTGCCATCTACCAGATCTATTCCATCGCCACGAATATTAAGATTATATTTACTTCGAAAATGAGATCTTTAATTTGAGATTTGAGAATCAACTCGACGATCATTTTACTGGCATTTCGAGTTCCAAAGAAATGTAACCTAAAGAAAACTCGAGTGGAAAGTGTTAACATTTTCATCGAGGAGCCAACAAAGTTAATTCTGAAGGCGATGTAAAAAAAAAAAATCTATTCTGCAAATATTCGCGGAAGCGAGATACGAGTACAAAAAACTGTCGCAATGACTGAGGCTCGCGTCAGAATTGAATGGATAAAAAGAATCATAAAAAGAATTCAAAGTTTGCGCACATGAACGTTCACCCTTTATCGACCGGCGGGATAAAAGGAATTCAAAAGAAACGATGTGGAAGATGGAAATCCCGAGACGTATCACCGCACTGCGGGTATATATAGAAGAAGGAAGGGTTGGTGGATTCAGAGCGGAAGAATCATCGTGTATCAGCGAACGCCACCTTCGTTAATCGGCCTTTGAAATATTATTAATGACATTTTCATCGTACCGTGCATGCCCGAGTAACCCGACTCGTAATTACGTCGAAGATTGTCGCGTGTTCAGGTGCCACCAGGTGTCGCGATGGAAATTAAAAGGGTGCCACGAATAACAAGCCTCGAAATTTAGCGAATCGACACCTAATTTGATTTTTCGCGGAAATTTCATTCCAAGTAGAAAGTGACAGCCTGTGACATTTTACTAGTAAACGCGAAGTTCCGTACGCAATAATTCGTTTGAATAGTCGAGAGAGCCGGCCAGGTGCAAAAGGAGAGACCATAGGGTAAGTCACCTGGCGCAGCGCGTCCAAGAATTCAATCCATTTATTTGTCTCGGTCCCCATGGCTCGTGCAGAAAAAATACGCGTGCAGAAAAAAATGCTCGAAAGGTGCACGCGAGAGCAAGATTACACCGTGCGTAGATCGATGGGAGGCATCGAACGAACGGTTTAAAAGCCCACCACGAACTTGACATCGGCCTCACGCAAGCTCTGGCTTATCCCCTAGAACAATCGGTCAATGCTACTCCGCCCCGATTGACAAGCTTTACTCTAAAACGTCGTCAAAGTGACCTCATATACACACGTTAATTAATTCGTCTGATCCAGCTACTGTATCGTCTAACAAATTCTCGGCAAACATTCTACGAAACGTTCGAGTACGGTATCCTGCGAGTAACGTATATCGTATACAGTACACTCTCCCAGAATTTTCTATCGACGCTGTTATTCGAAACACCGAGCGAATAAATCACTCGAGTTTGGTATCGTACTTTTCCCATAGAAAATGTCCGAAACAATCGATCAAAAGGAACGAGGAAACATGACTGTACTCGATTACTTTTTCCTAGCCAACCAAACATGTCGGCAATGTTCGAGGATATAATGGCAATAACGAGAAAAACTACTCCATCTTTCTACTCCTATTATTATTATGATTTGTACGAACACGAGAAAAATTTTCTTACGAGGGTTGCGTATCACGGTGGGGAAAGGATGTACAATTTCGAATATTCGAGCATCGATCCACCAGGAAACATTAATTTCTTTTGTATTATTATTATTGTCACGTCTAGTTGCACCACCCACCGTACACCATCGATGCACCATGGTCGTTATGTGCGTGTTCCCTACTGATTTCTCACTTTAATAATAATAATAATTGTCCGCGTATTACAGTATTTTCTATATGACACAGCAAAAGCTCCCGTACACGGGAAGTTAAGCATCGATGTAGAGAACGGTTAGAAACTTACCCTGCGTGAAGTGCTTAGCAACCATGATGTGCGTGGCTCGCGGCTCAGAACATTATTCTCCAACCCCTCGAACGAGGCTGCTGTGGGGTAACGATATATCCGGCCAGGGAAACCTTCACTTGTCACGCACGCGGTTACGAGCGTCAACAAACTGTACTCTCCGTCAAAATCACATGTTCGCGAACTGTCTGCCGTTTGTTCGCGTACCGGGGTGTACATGCAATATATCGTACTGTGTGCGATTGAAAACGCGACTAAGATGCACGAGGAACGACGCACATGCTCGACAGTTGCCACCCGACTGACGCTCCGCTGCGGTTACGGGCTCGCGCTCCATGCGAACTAATCCTGATTGGTCGCGCCACCGTGCTGCCGGTAACCCCACCACTCCGCCTGTTTTAACCACCGTGCGCGTTCCCCTTCCTTACCGACCACGACCGAACTTGGCCGAGTAATTCGACGGGCAACGGAGTGTCAGCACCTGCTAAATCTTAAACGCGGTAATTACGATCTAGATGAATCTTTCAAATAATAAATAGAAACTAAACTACATTCTGTTACTTATTAGTCGAATAAAAATTAAAATTATAATAGAATTATAGGATGAAATTATATTCGATGTTGAACCGAATACAGTTCGAAGATAAATAAAAGTACGTTAAAATGCGATTATCAACTAACGAGATTATTACAGAAGCATTATTACAAAAGTATAGAATAATTACCGTTCAACTCTCGTTTAGATAAGACTCGAAGGAGAGTGTATACTCTGTATACGTTTATATTTCCCGCATTTTGAACAGATGGCGCCATTTGTTGGACAAAGTAAGATGTCTGACGACGATATTATGATCATGATATGACTAGATATAATTGTTTTCCGTCCTTTAGGTTCGTGTAGGTGCAACAGCAATATTAACAACAAAAACTATGAACATACTAAATCGCAAGAACGATGACATTACGAGTAACCGATGTATGGAACACAACAGTTACATTTTAGCCATATCATCTCGACGTATTTATACATTTTTTCGTCACATGTAAACGCGATCGTGTGCATGAATAACAATGATCGAGAAGACGAGAATGGCAAGTGGCGATCGCGAAGCCGTATTTGGTTTCACGGGAAGTCTCTGCCTAATCAGAATGAAACAGTTCGGCACGTTTTTCTGTAACAGCAGTCTCGTAGTGTAGTCATGAGGTTACGTCAGTCCGATCGACTATGAATCATTATGTATCGAGAATATCGTATAACTTGGCTTTTCAAGGTTCTCGTTTTACGATTCCCCGCACTTCTCGATATCGTTGGTCTCATAATTACCCCGACTGAGGCTAATTAATAGCTCGTTATCAAATCGAGCTTATTTGCATAATCCATAAAATATATTGTAACATGGTAATTTAATTGTGTTTGGAATAAAGCGTTTTGAAATTTCATTTGCAATCGGGGAGTCCGTTAAGATATGCAGAGTGACGTAAAAAATAAAGTAGATACACAATGTTTACCATGTTAACGGGCTCGCCAATGTCAATGACTTTGGATCACCTTGAAAAGTGTTCAAGGGGTCGGTCATCGAATGCTCGAAAGGAAAGAGTACTTATTCCCTGCACGATATCGAGATCGAACAGATCTAATTAATATAAATAATTATAAAAATCAATAGAAGACTGTGACGAGCAGAATTTATTATCTAATCTTCTTGACCAAGTATTGCATAATTATCGAGTACAATCGAAGCATCGAGAAATGTAAATTTGGGGACAAAGGTCGAACTTCAACCGATGCCAATACTTTTTCTTTATTGAATTCAATAACAACTGGAAAGTAAAATTGCGTGTCGCGCCTGCGTGCACGGTCGAGGATCCTAATGTAAAGTGATCTGCACATTTGCTCGTTGTTCGTGACGACGAGCAGAAAACACGGGAAAAAGAAACGGAACTCTAGGCGAATAGAAAGAAGTGGAGAAAGAGGGACGAAAGAAGCGAATAGAGCGAGTCGGTAACGGAAACAGCCTAAAGGAGAAAGGGACGACCGAACAGGTTTTGTATTCCCCTCCTACGGAACGCGTGACGTCACCTACGAGATCAGTTGGCGGTAAAGCAGTAGTGGAGAGTGAACGGAGAAGGCGAGCCACCCACGCAGCAAACCGACGGAGCTAAATCAAATGCTTTGCGGTTTCTCTAGCGCGTAACAGCGGTTGTACGGGGAATTCGCGTCGTTTTGTTATGTATCCAGCTGGAGATTACGCATCAACAGTGGGCACGGATCCAGGACACGAGCTAGGACCATGGCCACCTGCCCGCTGTCATCGCGAATTAGAAAATTTATGATAGACGGCGCTGAGCGTTGCTGACGTATCGCTCGAGGGTCAACGGACCTTTCGACAATTTTTGGCGCTACTCGTAAAAGGAGGAAACGTGCTGCACCGGTGTACAATGTATTTATCCGGGGTGTCGAGCTCGCTGCGATTCAGCTACCTGCCAGAAACGGGTCCGACAACTCTCTTGTAGGCTGCGCGTAATTTGTCTTGTGCAGAACCGGCGGGGTCTGCGGCCAACGGCATAAACATGGTCTGGCTCTCCCTTCTTGGCGCGATTCTATCGCCACCGTGCGCTAAATTCGGCGCCTACTGCTTTTCGAAACGAATTCGCGTGGGTGACCATTGATACTTTTTGCTTAACGCGCGTAAACAAGCGCAGTCGCGTTAATGAAAGAGCCCGCTACCACCGGCTGTCTAAAAATACATTTTACTAGCCAACAGCGCTACGTGACTGGAAACTTTCGCGTCTATCAACTGTGTCTCTTATTAAAAGATACTTTTATTCACGTTGACGTAGTTCGGATAAAGAATGATTGATAACTTCCGAACCGGAAGTGAAGGGGGACCTGGATCCCCGAAAAAACATACCTAATAGATTCAAGTTACCTACGGTTGAGGCATGTGCGTGTATGCACATGTACGCTTACGTACTCGTTTCACGAATAAATAAATAAAGTTGAAGGAACGCTGAATTCGTAAAATGGTATACTGCGCGTCAGCGGATTTTTTCTTTTTCCCGTCGCGTTCTCTACTCGTCGTCACGAAGAACGAACGAACAAACGTACGGATCACTTGAAATTAGGGATCCCGGCGCGTACGCGCATGCGCGGTACAAGCAATTTTTTCTCTTGGGTACTGCAGCTCGGCGAGCAGTCGTCCATCTGTCGAGAGCGCGTTAAGGACGATGTTGGACGTCGTGCGCGAGGTGCGACGACGACGACGTTTCGTAGCACGGCGTAGCCCGTCGACGATGTGCTGTCCGTGTAGCGTCGCGAGGAACTACGTTTTCGCGTAACGCGAGCCGAAAACGGATACGAGTAAAAGTGAGGTAGACACACGGTGCACCGTCCCCTGAGCAGTCCATGCGCTCTATGCAGTGATGGCTTCGGTGAAGGTAGCCGTGAGGGTTCGTCCCTTTAACAAAAGGTGCGTGTCTACGAGCCAACAACAATCCGTTACGTTTCCTCGACGTTTCGCGATTCCGATAGTCCGATCTCGCTGGGAAGGTCGTTTTTTTTTTTTTCTTGGATCATGCTAACGACACCATTACATCAAACGTCTCGCCTCGGCTAAAAAACGCGGACGACAGTGTTTTCGATACGTTTTCAACGAGAATTCGAGTTTCGTCGAACGATCAATCGTGTGCTTTCGAACAACCCTAGTGTGACACGATTATCGTGCGACAAGATTCTGCCACCTGCTGTCATTCGGTCCTGTATCTAACGTTACCGTGTGCCCAGGGCCGACGGTATTCATAACAACACCCCTGTGCAATTTAATTTCCGTTAAACAAGCCGTAATACTTTGTTTATCTGGCAATATTATCGCGGTACGCAAGTCGAGTGCAGGAACTTTAAAAATTAGAATTAATTGGATTCAGAATAACGTTTACGAATTCGATTTGTTTCTACTTACGTAGAAGTGACCCCTTTTTGTTTGTATGATAAGCTACGATCGGGTACAGTGGCGGATACGAGGGGAGGGGCTTGGCTTCCCTTTGAGACAAAAAAAGTCACGTTCATTTTTATTTGCCATTTTTGTTTTCTAGCCTTCCTGTTTGAAAGTACGATAACCGTATTATTTTATCAATGATAAGAGTACTTTCTTTCCTGTCGAAACGCCCCGAGATATGTCTCTGATAACCTGATAAGATCGTTTACCTCGTCTGCCCTGCGTGCATCCTTCGTATCGAACCTTTGGAAACCTTCGTTCCCGAGTTTCGCGGTTCGAGGAAAGATTAAGAAAAATACAAAGTGCCGGATTCTAGCAATGTGCGTGAATCTGTCGATTTTCCAGGGAGCTGGCGATGAATGCGAAGATGATCGTGCAAATGGACGGCAAGAAAACACGCATATTCAACACGAAGGTATCGTAACCGTTCAAAAGTCGTCCTTTCGACATTGCACAAAACCGTTGCTTATTAAGGTTAAACGCTTCCTTTGTAACGTGTATACTTCTCGCGCGCCATCCGCGACGAGCCAACTCCTGCCAATCTCGAGCTTCGTCCTTAATGATCGCGAACGAACTTTCTAAAAAGATTTCTACGCTGCGGCATGATTTTTAATATATATTTTTTTTTTTTTTTGTTTGTCCGAACTACCGTTGACCGCCACGCTGTCTGAAACGCTTCGCGCACAAAACCATGTCGTAATTTCTGCCCGACTGAACTTGGGATGTTCGATTCTGTCTCGATTTTCCAGGAACTCATTGATTTCTTGAAGAATCGATCCTTGATTCGTTCCTCTAGCTCTCCAAATGTCGCGTGTGTCGCGTTCTTTATTTTTACAAGTATTTCTACCTTCTCACTTCGGACATTCCTAAAAAATTATTGGAAAGTACACCGGGGTTATTTATCCTTCGTTAAGCATCGTTGCCGGACGGTAACTGCCAATTGCAGGGAATGTCCGTTCCAGTAGAACGCGTGTTTTCAAAGACAGACAATATTATGGTCGACGAATACTATGTAATCGATCGTTTGCAAAACTCACTTTAAATTCATCACGAACGCGTAATTGATTCACCGCTTGATTTTCAGACTAATTTCTACCTTGTATCGATTCAAAGATGATCCTAGTCGATCCTAGAATCGATATTACTGGCAGAATCGAACACGTCTAAAGGCCCCTTTTCATTTGTCAGAGCGTGACGACATTTGTCAACTCGAATGTCGCATTGTCATGACATAAAAACGAAGTCGTGGATTCGTGTCACGTGAAAACGTGCCTTTATCGACCGCGACATTGTTCCTCGGTGCGGAATCTTCTT